GTCTGTCTTGTCCACACAGGAACTGAGTTGCCCAACCATCTTTGGGAGGTGCACTGCAGACTGGGAAGAGCCCTGGACGTGGAGTCTGAACCTCTTGAGGGCCAGTCGCCCACTGGCCTGCTAGAGACCTTCAAGCAAGCTTGACGTTTGTGTGACATCCACTGTCCTCCGTCACTGGCATCTGCCTCGAAAGTCAGGTAAGGGATTCTACAAGGGCCCCAGATAACAACTTCCTGGCTGGGAAAGGTCATGGCTAAGGATGCAGGGTAAGGCTGCGTGCTAGCCTCTCTGAAAGGTGGGGAGAGGGACGTCGGAGGTCACAAGGGGAAGTGCAGATGGTGGTTTGGTCCTGGGAAAGGGATGGAAACCATAACTTCTATTTGGGGCACCTGGAGGAGTGTCACTTCTGCTTTGGTCTTGATTTCCTCAGCTGGGTGGTGGGGTCAGACTCCTTTTCCCTCTGTGCCTTCCTGGAAGCAGCATGGCCAGAGGGCCTGGGCACTCGGCATCAGGGCCCAGACCCTGGAGGTCAAATCTAGGCCCCTATCTGGGCCTCAGTTTTCCTGTCCATGCAGTGAGAGGGTAGACAAGATGGCCTACAGTCCCTTCTGCACTGATTAGTCCTCCTTTACTGAGTCCTCCCTTACCTTCTCACCTGAGACGTTTCATTCTGTGACTTCCTTTATCTTCTTACACCTCTTTTCTGAGGTGTCTTCTCTGAGGTTTCAAGAGGGCAAGTGACTGACCTATCAAGTAAATAACCGAATACTCAAAGAAGTAAAAATCCAGATTTCTGTGACTCCAAACTTTGTATTCTCTTTAAAAAACACACACACACATGCACACATCTATAATATTATTGTTAGGACAGTTGGTGAACACTGGTGAGGGGAAAGGAGGTTCTAATATAAAAAAATGAAACCCTAAAAATTAAATTGACTTCTTTATCATGTTGGAGTGGGGAAAACATTTCTCACTAGGATTCAAAACCCAGAAGCTAAATGAGCAAATACTGATAATTACATACATTTTTATTATAAACATTTTCAAAGTAAAGAAATTCTACAAGGCAAAAAAGATCGTGTGCAATGTTAAAAGGCAAATGACAAACTAGGAAAAATATTTGCAACTGACATGACAGATAAAGAGCTAACTTCCCTGTTATGTAAATAGTGGTTAGAAATTCATAAGCAAAAGTCTAACTCATTATTAAAATGAGCAAATGGTGAACTTGCATAGGTGGGAGAAGGTACACATGCAGTTGTACTGGAAAAAACACAAATGGCTCCTAACAGGGAGCTGGTTAAATAGATTGCAGCTTTCCCTACAATGTTAAGGAGCTCTGGTGGCATAGTGCCTAAGGCAATTGACTGCTAACCAGAAGGTTGGCGGTTCCAAACCCACCGCTGCCCAGTCGCTTCCAACTCATAGCAATCCTACAGGACAGGGTGGAACTGCCCCAGAGCCTTGGCAAGGCTGTAATCTTTACAAAAGCAGACTGTCACATAGCTCACCCATGGAGCAGCTGGTGGGTTTGAACTGCCAGCTTTTGGGTTAGCAGCCAAGTACTTTAACCACTGTGCCACAGGGCTCCTTCAGTATTAAAATGTGCAGTTATAAAAGAGAAGGCAGATTCTCTCTAGTTACTGGTAGGGAAAACTCTCCAGGAAATTATTTTCATGTGGAAAAAAAAGCAAAGTGCAGAACAATATTTAGGGTATGCCACTCTTTTTGTAGAAAAGGGTAAAGCATGTGTGTATATGAGTTAGTTAGGTGCTGTTGAGTCAATGCTGACTCGGGGTGACCCCGCGTGTGCAGGGTGGAACTGCTCCATAGGGTTTTCACGGCTGTGCCCTTTTGTGAGATGACCAGGCCTGCCCTCTGAGGGGCCTCTGGGTGAGTTTGCAGCACTAACCCTTCGGCTAATGCTTGAGCACTTAACATTTGTGCCACCCAGGGCTTCCCTCTCTCTCCCTACACACACACACACACACACACACGTATGTATACTCACATGTCCTTATACTTGTATGAGGAAACTGAAACATTAATGACAGGAGTTAGGTGGGGATGGAGAAGGTGGCTGTTTGGATCCCTTTTTATGCTTCATAGTGACACATGCTCCCTGCCTAACCCTTGGCAACCACTAGTCTGCCCTGCCTCTCTGTGAGTGTGTCCTCAGGAGAATGCTATGTAAGAGGACGCATGCAGTATGTCACCTTTTCACGTTGGCTTTGCTCACTCCGCATAAGGTCCCACCCAGTTGCTGCCCGCATCAATAGTTGTTTCTTCTCTCTGAGCAGTATTCCGTGAAGCGGACATGCCACAGTGTGCTTCCCCATTCACCCACTGAAGGACTCTGGAATAGCTTCCAGGTTTTGGCTATTACGAGTAAAGGTTCTATTAACACTCTTACACAGGTCTTTGTGTAAACATGAGTTTTCATTTCTCTGCATTTTTGGTTTTATAAGAAACTATCAAACCATTCCTCGATTAATGGGCCTCTACATGGTTTCCTTTTTTTTTTTTTTTTTTTTATTAACAATGCTGTTGTAAACATTTGTGTACGTATATATTCCTGCTCTTGCCCGGTCAAAGGCAGAAAACTTGCGAGACCTGGAAAAACAAGGTGGTCCGTTGGTTCTGGCTCGTAGGCGTCACTGCATGTGTTTGCAAATATTATCTCCCCGTCTGTGGCTATCTTCTTGTTCTTTTAACAGTGACCTTCAAAAAGCAGAAGTTTTTAATTTTGATGAAACCCAATTAACTTTTTCTTGTATGGATATTATTTTTGGTGTTTTCTCTAAGAAATCTAACCCAAGGCCAGAAAGATTTTTTTCCTGTGTTTTCTTTTGAAAGTTTCAGGTTTTGAAATTTGGATCAATGATCCTTTCTTTTTTTTTTTTAATTGTTCTTTGGATGCAAATTTACAGAGCAGAATTTGTTTTACATTCAACAGTTCATGTACATTTGGTTTCACTCCCCAGTTACCGTCCTCAACCCTACCCCACTCTCCTCCTCTCCCTTCCCTGTGAGCCCCTTATCCCTGTGCCCTTCTTGGTTATGCACTCCTGTCTCTCCAGCTTTCCCTCCATGTGCATCCTGCCTCTTTGGTGCCCCACGGCCAGTTTCTCCAAGGGGTGTATTTCCGTAGAGTAGGTGAGTCCGTTGCCCTAGGTTGGGTGTTCTGCATGTAAGTCTTTCTACTGTTGGGCTGAGAGCCAGTCCTTGGAAGAGAGTTATATCCCAGGCCTGAAGTGTATCCTAGGCCCATAGTCTTGGGGGTCCCACCACACTCCACCTGACCAGTAATTCTGGTCATCATTGTTCCTTTTTTTAATTTTATGAGTGTTTTACATTCAACGTTACATGTACATTTAGTTTCATTCCCCACTTACCATGCCCAGCCCTAACACTGTGACTTCCTTTATCTTCTCACACCTCTTTTTTGAGTTATCTTCTTTGACGTTCCAAGAGAGCAAGTAACTGACTCACCAAGTAAATAACCAAATACTCAAAGAAGTAAAACCCCAGATTTTTGTGACTCCAAATGTTGTATTCTCTTTAAAAATACATACACACATGCACACATCTATAATATTATTGTTTGGACAGGTGGCGAACACTGGTGGGGAGAAAGGAGGTTCCAATATAAAAAATGAAACCGTAAAAGTGGTGGAAGAGATGGACTTCTTTATTATGTTGGAGTGGGGAAAACATTTCTTACTAGGACTCAAAACCCAGAAGCCAAATGAGGGCAGGGAGGGGAGGAGACTGGGTTAGGGTTGGTCATTGTGTTTTTGAATTTTGTTCCATGTTTTTCCTCCCACTCTATCCAGGGTCTCCAGTTTTGATCCCTTCCTGAGTGGTTGGCATTGGTAGCCAGTCATCATCTGGTTCTTCTGGTCTGGAGTCCGTCATGTCCTAGGGCTGATTGCTTCCAAATGTCCTTGATTTTCTTCACTCTTCTTCGCTTCAGACGAGAGGAGACCATTAGCTGCATCTTAGATGGCCACTTGAAAGCTTTTAAGACCCCAGTTGCTACTCACCAGAGTAGGTTGTGGAACAAGACTTTTATGTATTGTTTTGTGCCATTTGAGCCTGGCGTCCCCCAGTACTACGGTGCTGAGTCGGCAGATCTGGTGGTTCTGTGTCCCAAGGTGTCTGGCTGTCTTAAAATGACCCATTTTAAGTTACATTTTATATGTGCTGCAAGGGAGGGATCCAAGCTCCACTTCTTCTTCTTTTTTGCTAAAGAATCCTCAGATGTCCCACCTGCTGCTGTCTCCTTTCTCACTCTTTTCTTTGTGGCGTCGTGTCTGTTTTATTCACTCACTCTCATTTTAGTGATGTTTCAGTGGATAGACATGAAATTACTATACTTAAGCAGAGATCTTTTTAGTTCATTTTAAAACCTAAGAAAGTGAGGTCAGAGAGGGACACATCCTTGCCCAGAGTCACACAGTGAGTTAGTGACAGGAATACAGTTACATGCTGTTTGCTCCCAAACAACCTTCCCCTGGATCAGGCAAGGACCCGGGGAGGCCTGGGGAAGACCATGTTTGCAGGGCGGATAAGTGTTGCAGGCAGAGCTGCTAATCACAAGCATTGCTTGGTGGCCAAGCGTGCTAGAGTCCTAAAGACTCAAGCCTCAGTTTCCTCCTCCGTGGAATGGAGGTCTAGAGAAGGCCGAGTAAGGTGTTGCACGTACCTTCCTCTACTTTTGGACATGCCAGATGCCTGGTTGTCAGAGGTCAATCTTTTTTTTCTTCTTTTTTTAAAACGTTGTATTGAAAATATACCTAACAAAATACATATGTACAATTCAGTGCCCTTGTTTACCTCCTCAGGTTTGGCAAGCATTCTTGCTATCTTTTTCCAAGTCATTTCAGGACCATCAACATAAAGTCAGTGTAGAGGTCATTCTTTCACCATAGTGACAATGGCATGCACTTTATCTTAGGCAGGAACCAGGTCTTGGAGGAGACCCCTGCATAGGCATGGATCCCTGGGGGACCCTTCTCCTCTGCCTCTGCCTCGTGACTTCTCAGAGCGGGATAGCGGGTAAGGGGCTCCGTTGAACTGGGGGGCAGTCCTAGCCCAGCCACACTGCTGTGATGTGAAGGGTGGAAGCCTCAAAGCAAAGAAGATGGGAAGGGGGCCACGTGGACCTCCTGTGAGGCAGCAGCATCGGTGAACTAGGAGTCAGGAGGCCTTGGGGCTGGGGTGCTGAGGACGGGGGTTAGGGTGGAGGTCTGACTCTTGCTCCCTACAGAGGCTTCACAGGAGGTCCGGTACTTGATCATGAAAATGGAGATGATGGCCAGGAGACGAGATGCATATCCTTATTCTCAGTGAGTTGGGTGTCCCTCCCTTACACTTAAGAGTCAGTCCTGACGCCCACCCTAGCCTACATCTTGAATCTGTGGTCCAGGATTGGTCCAGTGAACCAATCAACCCATTCACTTATTCAACCTGCATTTATCGACTACCTGCTGTGTGTTTGGCACTAGGCTCTAGCAATTCAAGACAGATGTGTCCCTGCCCTCCTAGAACTTGTCTTCTGGGGTGGACTTGGGTGTGCAGAATATGTCTCTGCCTTTTTTCTGGGAAGGGGCTCCTAGACTCTGGCTGGGTTCTCCTGGGTCAGTGACTCAAAAGCTGAGCAACGTTAATGACTGACCAGGACGGAGAACTTCAGCTGAGGAAGCACTTCACTCAGCAGAGAGGGTGGGGAGAGCTGTCAGAGAAGGCTTCCTGGAGGAGGTGATGACAAATTGGGACCTGACAGGAGTTCATTGGGAGAAGGAGATGGGTCGGTTGGGGAAGTCAGGGTTTGCCAGGTGGAGGGAACTGTGTGCACAAAGATCAGGAGTGACTAGGTTATAGTGTGTCCCCTGAGGCTGTCTAGAGCCTTTTCTCACCTCCACTCCCTGTTCTGGACTCGACTCTCTCTGACCAGCTCCCAGGCCCGCACATCTGTTCACAGCCTGGAGGAGAGCCTGCTGAACATCACCATTGAGGGCAGCAGTGTGACAGAGCAGACACCTCAGGCCACCATCCAGTCTCTAGCCTTGAAGCTGGACTGCAACTTCACTGGCCTCTCACTGAGCAGCACTACTCTGCAGGGGGTCCCTCAGGTCAGGGGAGGCGGAGGATGGGGGTGGGTGGTGGCCAGCTGTCTCCAGCCTCAGAAATCCTCTTTGCCCAGGTCTGTCCTCACCTTCGGAACACAGGTTCTGCCCCAACTAGCTGTGCCTGGCCTCCTCTGTAAAATGGGGCTGAAATTCTGCATGTGAACAAAGGGAAGGGTAGGGCTTTGTGGCCCCTCAAGGGCAGTTTGGGGTAGAGGGCAGGGCCCTAGGTGAGGTAGTAGTGGGCAGGCCAGGGAGTCCTGTCCCCATTGTGGTGCCCGCTGGGTACCTGGCCCATGTGGAACGCTGGGGTGCAGAGACACACAGGGGTGGGGATAGGAAGGTAGCAGTGGGAAAGCTGTCCCCCCAAAACCAAACTGCCATTGAGTTGAACCCTACTCATAGCAACCCCTCCTTGGGTTTCCGAGGCAGTATCACTATGGAAGTAGATTGCCCAACCTTCCTTCTGGGAATGGCTGGTGGGTTTAAACCACCAGCCTTCTGGTCAGCAGTCAAGTGTCTTAGGCACTATGCCACCAGAGCTCCCTGGGAAAGCCGTCAGGTGGTGTAAATAATCCAAATTCAGGATCCAACCAGCATGGAGCACAGGTCTGGGATCTTAGGCAACTTGGGAGAAGGTGCAGCCTGGGAGGAGGGGGTTCTGCAGGCCAAGGTTCCAGGGTGGGAAGTGTCCGGAGCAAGGGCTGTCTGGGGAGTGGGGGCTGCGAAGGTGGGGCCAGGTCGCCTGGCTCAGCATGTCTGTGGCCTCCCCAGGCCAGGGCCCCGCACTCCATGCAGTTCCCAGCCGCGCTGACCCAGGAGGTCTGTGGGAGGCAGGCTCGCAGCCACAGGGAGCTCCGCCTCATCTGTGTCTACTTCTACACCACCTTCTTCTTCCAGGTCAGCACCCATGGTGGGCCGAGGAGGGCCCGGCCTCTGGGCGGGGACCAGCCCTGAGGGAGACAAGGGTCAACTGGACAGCTGGGCCAACCACTGCCCCTCTCTGCCTCAGTTTTCCCATCAGCTTTACCAGAATGGTTGGGCAGCACGATTACAATCTGCAAATAAGGCCCATCCCTGGAAGAAGGGGCAGACGAGAAAGTGACACGGTCCCTGCCCTTAGAAAGCTCTCTGTCTCGATATTGATATTTAGCGTAGGACCTCAGAGACTTGATTTTAGCTCAAGGTTGATTGTAGCCAGAAAAATGCAAAGTGCTGACAAGTCAGGATGGGGTCGAGGTTGTTCCCAATGGGTGGTCCAGGAGGGCTTCCGGAGAAGGCAATTTTTCACCCTGGCTTTGAAAGTGAGTTGGGTGCTGGTGAGGTGAAGGGTACGAGGCTGGAAGGCATTAAACAATTGAGAGGTGGAGCAGGGGCTCCTGAGACAGTAGCTTTCCAGGTGGCTGGCCTGAGCGGTACATGGGAGGAGCACACTTCATGTTCTCATCCCAGAAGGGGGACCTGAGGAAGGGGTCCTCTCAGACTTCATCCAGGGTCTCCCTGTGTCCCCTGCAGTTAGCTCTTCTTTCCACTGCCCTTCCAGGACAAGTCCAACTCATCTCTACTCAATGACTATGTCCTGGGGGCCCAGCTTGACCACAACCACGTGAGAAACCTCGGGGAGCCGATCAACATCAGCTTCTGGCACAACAAAAGTCTGGTACTGTTGGGGCGCTCCCATTCACACCCCACTTCTGCCCCTCTGCGGCTATCTTCTTGAATATTGGTGTGACCAAACCTGTGGCGCCATCTTGGAAATAAACTTAGAATCACAGAAAGGTTTTGAAGTCTTTTAAATCCATCACACTGTGAATATTCCTGTCTAACAAATAATCCTCACCCACGTTGAGAGAGAGCTTTTACTCCTTGTGTTAGTCAGGATTCTTCCAGATGCAAGTGGCAGAAAACAAACTCAAGGCAGCTTAAGCACAAAGGTCGTTTATTGACTCAAGCAACTGAAGCGTCCAGGGGTTTCCTAGCTTCGGGCATGGCTGGGTCCAAGGACAGATGCATGTCGTCATGGCTCATCTCTTTCTGTCTCTCAGCAATGTTTTCCTGCTTTGACTTTCTGCTCTGTGGCAAAATGGCTGCTGAAGGCTTCCTTCCTCTCTTCCCAGCAGGCTTTTCTGTACCAAACCAGGGCCCCAGAATGGAGTCTTAAATGTCCAAAAGGGTCACGTGTCCATCTCTGATCTAGTCTTTGTGGCCAAGGGGATGAAATGTGTGTTGGCCGGGTCTTGACTACCTTTGGCCCCCACAAGCCTGGACTCTGATCCATAGTCCCTGCCCTGAACGCTTTTGACTGACTCTCACTTCTCTCTTCAGGAAGGCTACGTGCTGACATGTGTCTTCTGGAAGGAGGTAGCCGACGACGAAGACCACTGGGGGGCCTGGAGCTCTGAGGGCTGCCACACAGAACAGCCCTCACCTGCTCAGGTGCTTTGCCGTTGCAATCACCTCAGCTACTTTGCTGTTCTTATGGTATGTGTGTGTCCAGTTTGAGTAGGGCAGGGTCAGAGCTGCAGAGGACCCCCCATCCAAGGCAGAGGAGCAAGGCAAAGAGACAGAAAATCCAACTCAAATGGGCTTAAGCAAAAAAGGAAACTGATGGGCTCATGTTCCCCAAAAGGCTTGGTCAGACTTTAGGCATGGCTTAATCTAGGGGCTCAACCAGTATTGCCCAGCTAGTACTGTCTTTGTCCCTCAGCTGTGCTTGACTGGAGGCAGGATCTCCCCATGAGATGATAAGACTGCTGGCACTTCCAGGCTCATGGCCTACTGCCTTTCAGGCTGATGGAATGAGAGCTTCCATTTCCCAGTTTGCCAGCCAAATTCTGCCAGATTGAGCCCACCAGCCTAGCAAGTGTCATGTGTCCCTCTCTGAACCATCACTGTGGGCAGGACGAAGGGGAGCCTTGCCTGGTGCACCTGCCTGCACATAGTGTGAAGAGTGATGGGGCCATCCACGTGCATGGTGTTGGGGAAGGGAGCTCCCCCAGAAAATGGAGGCTCTCAGAGGGGAAGAAGAGATGGAGGCTTGGCAAACAAAAGCCATGTCTGCCATGGTCTTGTTCAAGCCAGGACTGGGGCTGGGATTATGAGGAAGGGAGCTCAGAGCTGAGATCTTGGGAGGTGTCTCTCATTGAGCCTTGGGAGGGGTCACCATGCCTCTCCTGGCCTCCAGCCCTCCTTTACCTCCCACAGCAACTGTCCCCAGCCCCAATTCCTGCAGAGTTGCTGCCACCTCTCTCATACATCTCCGTTGTGGGCTGCAGCATCTCCATTGTAGCCTCACTGCTTACCATCATGCTGCACTTTCATGCCAGGTATTCATTCCCCTGACGCGTGTCTGGCCTGTCCGCCCCACTGCTGCTCACCTTCCCTTCTTTCCGATGTGGTCCCCAGAGTGAGTTGGGCTTCTCCAGAGGGCAGAGGCCAGCAGGCTGGAGACCTACCTTGCTGCGTGGCTGCTGTTGGATCCCTACCCCCTTTTGGCCTCAGTTTCCCTGCTACAGTGTGTCTATGAGCCCAGGGGGTGGCCCTTCTGGGTGGTGTCCCCAAGCCATGGAGGGCTGTGCTCACCTGCAGGAAGCAGAACGAGTCCATGACACAAATCCATGTGAACCTGCATGCCTCTGTGCTGCTCCTGAATGTCACCTTCCTGCTGAGCCCTGTGCTGGCTGTGCCACCTGGGCCTGGGCCAGCGTGTATGGCATTGGCTGCCATCCTGCACTACGCATTGCTGAGCTGCCTCACCTGGATGGCCATTGAGGGCTTCAATCTCTACCTCCTCCTCGTGCGTGTCTACAACATCTACATCCGCCGATACTTGCTCAAGCTCTGCGCAGTCGGCTGGGGTGAGCACAGACCACTGACTTCCTGAGGCCTCCAGCTGTGCAGGGCACCAACCCCCCTTTCTGTTCTCTTCCTTCTCTTCCTCCTCCTCATCACTGGGACCACTGTTATGACCAGCAGCCGTGATCCCAATCAACACTCCACCACTACTTCCCATGTTACTATTTTCGTCAGCATATGATCCCACTCTCCATCAGACATGACCTTCCAGAACATACCCATGTGAGTGTCTCAGTCTGCGGCAGGCTCCCTGGCTCTGGTGGAAGGGCCACATGGCCTGGGGCTCTGGAATGGTGCCCTGTAGGCAGGACACTGGCTGTGGGGTGAAGAGGGAGCTATGGTTTAGATGGGGAGCTTTCTCAGGGGTTTGCCACATGTCTTCTGCTGGATCTGAAATGTCTCCTGCAGGGGCAGAATCATGTTCTACCCCAGGCAACCCTAGGGAGCTGTGGAACAGGCTTCAATGCCCACTCACTGGCACCACACAGCTGTCATGAACCCGCCTCACCCTCCAGCTCTCAGGCCCCTTGAGGTAGCTTAACTCTGCTCTCCTCCCTTCCAACCACCTCACTTCGTTTGCCCTGGCTTGCCACCACCACCATCATCACTATCATCAGCGCCATCACCAGTACCATAACCTCCACCACCAACAGCACCATGGCTACTACCTCCACCAGTTAGGCTACATCCCCACCTCCCCTCCATCATCAGTACCATCTTCACCCTTGTCTTCACCACCATCTCTGTGACTGCAGTCACTGGCACCACCATCACCATTCTAGTCCCTTTCTTTATTATTTCTATTTCTTACCAGTTCCCCAACTATCTCTCCCATTAGCCTCTGCCACCGTCTCCCCAGTTTGACCACTATTACCACCACTACCATTCTGCCCATGAGCCATCACTGACATCATCATGGAACCCCTTACAAGATGGCCAGGCAGATTGCTCTGAAGCTGGACCACATGACAGGGGCTGGGGGCTCAGAACTGTCTCCAGCCCCTTTATCCACTTGGATTCTATCTTAGCAGCCCGAGGGACCCAGGGCCAGCCCCTCTTCAGGGTCTCCTGAGCTTCTGTCCCACCCCTCAGGGGTCCCAGCTGTCCTGGTGCTGCTGCTCCTAGCTGTCAAGAGCTCAGTGTACGGACGCCACATGATCCCACTCTCCATCAGTCGGAGCAATGGCACAGACTTCCAGAACATACCCATGTGAGTGTCTCAGTCTGCGACAGGCTCCCTGGCTCTGGTTGAAGGGCCATGCGGCCTGGGGCTCTGGAATGGTGCCCTGTAGGCAGAGCACTGGCTGTGGGGTGAAGAGGGAGCTATGGTTTAGATGGGGAGCTTTCTCAGGGGTTTGCCACATGTCTTCTGCTGGATCTGAAATGTCTCCTGCAGGGGCAGAATCATGTTCTACCCCAGGCAACCCTAGGGAGCTGTGGAACAGGCTTCAATGCCCACTCACTGGCACCACACAGCTGTCATGAACCCGCCTCACCCTCCAGCTCTCAGGCCCCTTGGGGTAGCTTAGCCTGTACTTAGCTCTGCTCTCCTCCTTTCCGACCACCTTACTTCACTCGTCCAGGCTCCAGCCTCTCCTCACCTGTGGTTGACACATGATACTACTCAGTTCCAGTGCCCACTGCCTCCTGCACCTCCTTGTCACTCTCACTACCTCCCCCAGGTCAAGTGTCCACATCTGCTCCACACCTGGTCCAGTGAGGGAGGCAGCTGGGTCCTGGCTCTGTCCACTCAGCAGGCCTTGGGTGGGGCAGATTCTCTGAGAAGGAAGTGAGGATGGGGCAGCCCCTGAAACCCTCCTAGTTAGAGAAGGGTGTGTTGTGAGGCTGGGGATGGGGATGGGGGAAAGGAGAGGGGACCAAACACCCCAGGACTGGTTCTGCATGTGTGTGGGGAGGGGCACTGGCAGAAGCAGCAGAGGCTTCTAGGGGGGGCTTGTGTGGGGGACAGACGACCCCACTGTTTTCTTTGACTGATGGCAACCCCATGTGTGCAGAATAGAAATGAGAATCATAGAAATTTCAAGGCTGTGACCTTTTGGAAGCAGGTCACCAGGCCTATCTTCCTAGGCAGCTCTGGGTGTGTTTGAACTGCCAACCTTTTGGCCAGTAGTTCAGTGCTTATCTGTTTGTGCCACCCACTCTAAACCAAGACCAAACCCACTGCCATCAAGTCAATCACAACTCGTAGCTACCCCCATTGGGTTTCTGAGGCAGTAAATCTTTATAGAAGTAGATTGCTCCGTCTTCCTTCCACAGAGTGGCTGGTGGATTTGAACTCCCAGCCTTCTGGTTAGGAGTCAAATGCCTTGTGTCACTCAGGGCATTTTGTTTGTGTGTTTGTTTGTTTTTTTACATTGTGAAAAAGTCTAACAGCCAAACATAGACTAGCAAAGTAACCCTGTAGAGCCGTCAGCAGCAGTTGTCCTCTTTCCTTCCTTGGCTAAGGAAAGTTCGAGATGGTTGGACTGACTCTGTGAAGGCACCTGTGTGAGCACCTGTTGTGAGTCTGTTTAATACTCACAACAAGGAGTAGGTCCTATTGTCTGTCCTATTTTACAGTTAAGGAAACTGAGGCACAGACAACTTAAGAACCTGCTCAAGGTGACCCAGCTGGTTAATGTAGAGCTGGTGATTCCAAGCTGGCTGGTTCCGGATCCCAGCTCCCAGGCGCTGCCCTACGCAGCCCCCTCAGCAGAGTCAAGCGAGGGCTCTGGGGGCTGAGTGGAGGGGGGTTATTTCCTGTTATTGCCAGGGTGGGGCCTGGCTTCTCAGAGGAAGTGTGATGTAACATTCTTCAAGCATGTACTGTGTTATATAATGTGTGATATGGGCAGAAGAACATAAATGATGTCACCAGACAGGAAGCACATTAACCCACAGGTGTTAAAGAGAGCTCCCAGCCTGAAAACTAGCTTCTCCTCAGGGCTTTCTCACCCACACGCTCCTCTCAGAAAACCACTACCCTGATTTTGTGCATTTTATCCTTCTGCATTTTGGAAACCGTTTATGATTCCTAAACAAAAATGGCAGTAGAACAAAACCTTGAAGATAACTCAAATGCCAGCTGATAGGACACTGGATCAGTCAATCATGGTAGAGACACCAATAGGCTCTGATCTAGTGTGAAAACAGAGAGTCAGGGCTGCAGTCATCAGTCTGGGTGAATTGCCAAAAGAAGGCTGTGAGTGTAATGGCAGGAGCCCCCGGCAGGAGCCTGAGCAGTGATGGTGACAGTCAGGGGGACAGGCTCTGGGCTCAGGCCACTGATGGGACCACTTACTAGTGTCTTCATGAGCAAAGCACTGCACGTCTTAGAGCCTCACTTTCCTTGTCTTGGATGGAGTGATAAACTAGCGGTCCCAGAGGGTTGTCCTGAGGATTGAATGAGGTAATCCGAGTGAAGTGTTTAGCAGGGTGTCTCACCTGGTGTCTTGGGAGGCAAAGGGCATGAAGCGGCCAGGCCTTAGGGAGGGCCCAGGACCAGGCTTAAGGCCACCTCAGGCCTTTCTCTGGCTCTTCCCTTGGTCTTTGGCAGGATTTTCCTCCTGCTGTCTCTGCTTCCCAGTCCGTACATGGCGAGCCCCCCTCCACTGAGCCGTGGGTTGGCAGCACCCCAGGTGGGGGAGCAGCAGCTGTAACCTCTCCACCCACTGCTCAGGGAGGGACGTGCGGTCCAGTCTCAGTGGGGAGAGGAGGACATGGGATGGGACATCCTGTTGCATAAAGATGGTGATAACCATGTGGTAGGGTGAGAGGGCAGTTTCCAAGAAAGATGGTCCCAGGCAAGTGATCCAATGGGATATCCTGCAAGCTGGCATTTGGGCTGGCCTTGGAAGAGGAGAGCAGTTAAACAGATGTAGAGAGGGGAGGAAATTTTCAGGTGAGTAAAGGCATGGAGACATGGGAGAGACCATTGTGGCTGGAAGGGGGGGCATGGGAGGGCTTCTGGAAGGAGGCAAGGTGGCAGGTGAGCCCCATCATGACGGCCTGCCTGGAAAGCTGCTCCCAGGACTTTACCAAGTTTGTGAGGAGGAAGAAACAATGGGACCTGGGCCGGGAGATCAGACTGAGTGCAAGAGGCAGCCTAGAGGTGAGTGCACTCCTGCAGCCTTGGGGCCCCCCGTGACCCTGGCACTTCACCCCTCCCCTGCAGATGCTGGGTGCGGAGCCCCAAGGTACATGGCATCCTGGTCATGGGCTATGGTGCCCTCACGTGTCTTTTCAACCTGGTGGTGCTGGCCTGGGCGCTGCTGGCCCTACGCAGGCTGCGGGCACGGGAGAAGGCTCCAAGTGCCCGGGCCTGCCAGGATGCTATCACCGTGCTGGGCCTCACCATGCTGCTGGGTACCACCTGGGCCCTGGCCTTCTTCTCCTTCAGCATCTTCCTCCTGCCCCAGCTCTTCTTCTTCACCATCTTGAACTCATTCTACGGTAGGGCCTGTGGACGCCCTGGGGTCGTGGACAGGGGTGGGATGCTCACTGTCAAAGGGTTCCAGCTGAGGTGTGTGTGTGGGGATGGAATCCAGCCCTTGGCTCCACTTTTAAGCTGGGAAGGGGTTAGGTCTGCCCAGAGGAAGGGTTGGCCATCTAATTTGTGCAAAGGCACCCTGTGGGATAGCAGTGGCTGGGTCCTGGTATTCCTAAGTCCCGCTCCTCTGGCCTCCAATGGCGAGGGGTTTTGGGAATCACTCGTGGGCCACTTTGTTATTCAGTGCTGTCTACTCGATTCCAACTCCTAGTGACGCCATATGATAGAGTAGAACTGCCCCACAGAGTTTTCTTGGCTGTAATCTTTTTGCAAGTGAATCCCTAAGTCTTTCTCTCAGAGAGCCTCTGGGTGGGTTAGAACCTCCAACCTTCTAGTTAGCAGCCAAGCGTCACCAGGGCTCCTTTCACCCGCAGCCAGAGGTCCTTGGACTCTGGGGGAGGCCCCACTGCTCCCATGGCGCTCCTCCCATCAACCAGCCTTTGCTTGCAGGCTTCTTCCTTTTCCTGTGGTTCTGCTACCAGAAGTGCCGCATGGAGGCAGAGGCGGGAAGAGAGACAGGGGCGGGAAGAGAGACGGAGATGGGAAGAGAGACGGAGAAGTTCAGCTCCTCCCAGATGATGTAGCAGTCTGGACCCTCTTGACTTCAACCTCAACCTGTCCTACTGCCTGCAGCCCCAGACCCTGGCTCCCACCAGTGAAAGTAGCCCATTTGCTGCTGGATACCTGAGACCACTGTGCTCTCCAGGGAGATGATCCTAACTCTGTGGACTCTCTAGGCCCAGAGAGGCAGGACCTTCCCATGACATTCTATTCTGGGGTGGGTCCAAGCCTGCTTGGGGGTGCTGGACTTTGCCCTGGTGTCATGGGACCAGCTGGCCTGGCGTTCGGGCAGAGCACTGGTCCTGGAATCAGGAGGTCCAGTTTCAAGGCCTGACTCTGGGTCTCACTGAATAACCTTGGCCCTGCCACTGACCCTTGGTTTCTTGGTTTGTGTGCCATGGGGTGAGTGGTTCCAATCGTGTCTACCCCAGAAACTGTGAAGATTAAGTAAGACCAGGGTGGAAGAGGGTTGGGAGCAGGGTGGGGTACCCTCCACCTGCTGGCCGGGTGGAGCTCTCAGCCAGCCTGCTCTGGAAGCACTTACTAGGCTCTGCCACCCGCCTCCTGGGGAGAGCCTGACCGGACCCTGGCCCAGGGCCCAGCTCAGTGCTTGAAAAGTGTCTGAGAATTCGCTGGCCTATTTCAGGGGCCCCTTTTCCTTTAACCTTCAAACGACAATGACTACAAACCCTCACCTTCCAAAGATCAAAGTCTGGTCCTTGCCAGGGGCTTTTCCTCCAGTGCTCCCAAGGCCCCCACAGGCCATGTGGACCAGCAGCTGGGCCACTGGGTGTTCTTCAAGTGGGAGGAGAGCCCCTTTCTCCTCAAGTGAAGAAGCTAGGCCCCAGCGACCTGGCTGTGATGGTTGGATGGGCTGGAGTTTCGTCTGGCGAGCGTGGAGGTATGGGCTGTAAAGCCCAGTTGCTGAGAATTATCATTGTCCTTTACCTATCCAGGAGCTCTGGTGGTATAGTGGTTAAAGTATTTGCTTGCTAACCAAATGGTTGGTGGTTTGAACCCACCAGCTGCTCCACGGGAGAAAGATGAGGCAGTCTGCTTCCATAAATTTATATAGCCTTGGAATCCCCATGGGGCAGTTTGACTCTGTCCTAAAGGGTTGCTATGACGGGACTGGGTTAGGGTTAGGGTTGGCTTTTACCTGTTTGGCCACATTGGAAACCAGCACTTATGACAGCAGTGCCCTTCCTAGGCACACCAGGGGATGAAGTCTGCTTGTACTCAGAGGCCTTGGAGCCTGGAAATGCAATCACTTTTCTTTGGGCAAGAAGCCGCAGTTAGAGAGGCCCAAGTTTCCAGGACTGTGCTCATGGAGTGAATGGCAGGTGGAAACACCAGCTCTATTTACATGGCTGTTTCCCTCTTTCTCTGATGCAACACCTAGGAATTTTTGACTTCAGGGTAACTGACTAAAGGGGGCTCCCAGAACCCCACCTCAGTTATCGGATAGGTGTTTAATGAGCTTGAAAGCCACTGAGAGGAACCAAGCCCGATTCCCTTTTTCCTTTGGTGATCTTGTGCCCTGTGCACATTTCTGATGCAAATAGCTCTTCACTAGGTGGTGAAGGGAGTAGGCACTGGAGCCAGACTGACGGGCCTCAAATGCCAGCTCTGCCATGTGGTAGCTGTGTGACCATGGGCAAGTCACTTACCCTCTCTGTGCCTTAGTTTCTCCATCCGTAAAATAAGGGCATTTAATCTGAGGATTAAAGATTTACTCTCCATAAAAAGGTTTAGCGTCAGGGCTCAGAAAATGATGGTTATTACTATCTAAATTGTTAACATGTTGGGCTGCTAACCAAAATATTAGAGCTTTGAACTCACCCAAGGTGCCTTGGGACAAAGGCTTGGAGACCTGCTTTGGAAAAATTGGCCATTGGATACTCCGTGGGAAAAACAACAGCAACAGCAAAAGCCTACAGACCACTGTGACACTCCTGGGGTCATCATGAGTCAATTCCAGCTCCACAGTAACTGTTTTTTAAATTGCTGTCATTAGTATGTTTGCTATTATTATTAACAGTGTCGACCGGGTCTCAGAGGCCAACCGGTCAGTCCCGGGGCCAGGTCTGCTCAGCACCGCAGGCCCAGCTCCTGAGGTGCATCCACCCCGCCTCGGCTTTCTCAGTGTCCCTCTTTCCACAGTGTGGTCTCTGCTCCAGCCTCGCCGGCCATTTGTTCTGGAATATTGCCACCCCCCCAGCCTCCAGACCTTTGCCATATGCCCTCACACCTTTGGATGCATTTAAATTCCTCCTGGAGGCTCATTTGTCAGGGGTCTGATGATGGTTATTACTCTGATTACTCCCCACTCTCCCAGGAAGGTGTTTTCCCCACTCCGACTCCAGACAGAACACTATACCCTGCCATGGGGATGGGAGCCTAGCCCTGAGCTGTACCAGGATCCCGGCCTGGGGGTGGCCCCATTGTTAACGACGGTGCCCCGGGATCATGGGAACCTCTGGCTCCTCTCATGGGTGGCCCCAGGGAGATGTGGCCCAGGATCCCTCTGTGGCTGGGTCTGCAGTTCACTGAAGTAAGGCCTTCAGGCCTAGCCTTCCAGAGCCCACGGAACCCAGGGCTTCCCTCAGAAGGATGCGGCCACGGTGACATGGAGTGGGTCTGCTTGTAGGAAATGACACCAAGCTTGTGGCCCTGAGCCTCACTGGGGTCCAGGCTCTGGGCAAGAGCCACCTCCCAGAAATGCCCCACTGGGGGTGGGGCTAGGGGCTGAGGGTGAGTGTGCAGTGCCAGGCTGGGCCTACCCCATCGTCCCGTCTCTCCAAGCAGAGTCCTGACCTGGCACAGGTGGGAGGCTGGTCTAGCTCACCGGGCCTTCCAGCCTAGCGGGGCATGTGGGGCAGGCTGGAGATCTGGGGGGCACAGCTCAGGGTCAGGAGTCGCTAGGGAGGCGTTTGAGGAGACAACAGATAGATACCGAGGGGGGTAAGAGGCTGGGCCGTTTCTGTGTGACTTTGTTACTGCTATTTCAGAGAAGGGCTAATGTGTGTGTGTGGGTTGAAAGGGGGGTTACCAGATGAAATACAGGACACCCAGTGTTTAGGTCATACATTAAAAATTGTTCATTATCTGAAATTCAAATTTAGCTAGGCATAGTATATGTCTGTATCTATCTGTCTTTTTTATATTTTTTCCCTTCAAATCTGGCAACCTTAGTTGAAAGCAGCACTGGCTGAGGACTCCAGGGTGTGGACTCTCTGACTCTTCAAATCAGCCCAGGATGCTGAGTGGGCAGCCCCTGCCCACTGAGTGAGCCCACTGACTCCACCTGAGGCTCTTCTACCGTTGGTGGGTCTCTTAGGGAGGCAGGGAGCAAGGTGGCTAAGGATAGGGGGATCCCAGACAGCGTGGGTTCAAATCCTGGTTCCACCACTCTCTCATTAGGGACCTTGGCCTCTCTGATACCTAGGTTCCTTTCCTGTGAAATGGGGTTGTCCTAGTTGCTACTTCAGGGGTTGATGTAAAGGATCAGGAAGACAAAAGTGAGGGGCTTGTCCCAGTGGGCTGCATGACAAGTGAAGCTTACACATGGGTTGTTGTCAGTCACCTGTCCAGGGATGTCTTCAGAGCTCCCTCTAGGTTCCTTCTAACAGGGCTTGGCCAAGAGCAGGCCCTCCAGAGTGTGAGGTAATGCCTGGTTTGGTGCTGCACACTATAAAACCAAAGCCAAATCAAAGTCATTGCCATTGAGTCAATTCCAACTCATAGCAACCCAATGAGTATAACAGAATGTAACTGTCCATAAGGTTCCTAAGGCTGTAATCTTTATGGAAGCCAACTGCCACGTCTAAAGCAGCTGGTGGATTACAGCCCAGTGCTGGACACTGCCCACCAGGGCTCCTCTGCACAGTATAGGTTCTGTGTCTAAGACCATGTGGTAGGAGCCCCAGCCTAGAGAAGGTTAGAATGCAGTGTGTGAGGGTGAGGCTCTGCCTCTAAGCTGAGTGGATACAAGCAGGGCAGCCTACCCAGGCTGGGGTGGGCTGTCATTTCCCATAATGACCACCAGGGGTCAGGGTAGACCACGTCTGTCTTGCTCCCTGTTCCCAAGCTTAATGGAGGTAGGGCGCTCTGGTGGCACAGTGCATAAGTCATTTGACTGCTAACCAGAAGGCTGGCAGTTCAACCCACCAGCCACTCCTCAGAAGGAAGATTGAACAATCTACTTCCGTAGTGATACCGCCTTGGAAACCCAAGGAGGGGTCACCATGAGTTGGGACCGACTCTGCAGCAGTGAGTTTGGAGTTTTTCTTTGGTTGTTGTTTTTTAATGGAGGTCTGCAGAGGATAATGGGGGCACACACATCTCTGTGTTCTGTGAGGTGGGGCATTTCCAGAAAAAGTTTGCCTGGGGCCCTGGCTTGGCTTTCCTGACTCTGTTAAAGAAGAAAATTGTTATATCTCTCCATCTATCTGTTCTATCCATGTATTTGTCGATCAGTCCATCCACCCATCCACCCATTTGTCCCTTTGTCCATTTACTTGTCTGTTCATCCATTCATCCTTCTGTCTGTCCATCCATCCATTACTCCTTCATCTTCTATCTATCCATTTATCTAGTAATCTGTCTGCCCACCTATCCATCTGTGTACTATCTTCAATACATGCATTCATCCATCCTTTCATCCACTTGTCTGTCCACCTATCTATCCTAATATCTGTCCGTCCATAATTTATTTACTCATCCATCTGTCCCTTTATCCACCCATCCATCCGTCCATCCATCTACCCAGCCATCCATCCAAACATCTGTCCATCTGCCATCTGTCCATTCCACGGAGCCCATGTGTTAACAGAGCCAGCCATGCTTGGCCTGTGGTACTCCATGAAGGGAAAAGGCCCAGTCCCTGCTCTCTCTGAGCTTGTCGTCTGATAGGGCAGGTGATGCACCAGGTAGTGAGAACACAGTGTATGGATAAATTTGTGGTTAGTAGCCTTCAAGCTGGCTTTGACAACTTGTGTATGACGTGAACTTCTGTATAACA